AACGACCACTGCTCGACCAACACAGAATTTACTCTTGAGATGCACAACCTCGAACCCAAAACATGGAAAATTGCCCCTTGTTTGAATAGCACCGCAACACACTAAATGGCAACGGAAAGTTACCCATTGTTTGAATAGTACCGCAGCACTGCTCGGCAACGGAAAGTTGCCCCTAATCTGAATAGCGCCGCAACACATGGCAACCAGTCCTCACAATGACAATTACCACCGAACTCTCGGATACAGAGAAGACAAAGATGATCAGAACTATTACATGGACATAGTCAATTTGGAAGTGTTTATGGCTGGACTTGAAGTTGCCTACGTATCCCAAACATGGGAATCAAGCCTTACGTAGTTCGGGGTTAAGGTACATTCGGGTATTAACCTCTCATTTTGCGCTTTAACTTTTGCCAAGGCTGCCCTTCCGGGTTTTCAACCTTGCGAGCTCAGTTTTTCTTTTCATTTCATTTCTTCTCTTTTTTTCTTCTTTTTTTCTTCTTTTCTTTTTTTTCTTTTTTCATTCTTTGCATTTTTTCTTTTTTGTTCTTTTTTTTGCTCTAACTTTTGCCTGGGTCGCCCTTCCGGGTTTTCAGCCCAACGAGCCTCTCAAGGGTAAAAGTGTAGCTTTGTCCATGTCAAATGGTTTTTAGGATCTCGAAGCCACCTGAATCCAAGAGAATGGCTGCTGCTTGCTGATGATGTAGAAGTCCATCCAATGGGGGGCTGAACTTGCCCCTAGTGTTGTAGATAGGAACTCGATCGTCCTTCAAAAAAAACTTTCTTCTTTCCTTCCTTTTGGGATTTGGCATTCTTGCCGATCTTCGTTATCTTGAGAAATGTCCTAATTTTTTACTCTTCGAGCACATTTGATATTCTTGCCCCTAGTTCAAGGGGTGCTTCAGATCGAGCTTCGCAAGCTTCCTTTGATCAATCTAACTTTCTCGCCTCTTGTTTCGAGGGCTGCTTCAAATCTAACCACACAGACCTTACATTGTGGTTGACCGTTGAACATTCTGAATCCAAGTTCAAGGTTTGAAAGCAAAAGGGTTGAGTCTCGAGGTTGAGAGCGATCCTATGCTGCACAATCTCAAGAGCGATTCCGCACAGGTCTTCGCAAGACCGCACAAAACATTTTTTTTGAAATCTTTTAAGAAAGCGACAAATCACTCGCGCTGAAAAGAGTGCAGAACCAATCTGGATCAAGCTAGGATCTTTCTCAGTACTCACATTAACAAGCATGATCTCATTCATTAAGGGCTTAGCACGCCTCTCTTTCTCTCAAATGATCAAATTTTTACAACTTCCGAGGAATTCCTTCATCTTTGTTTTCACCACAGTGTTCAAAAAGTTTTGAAAAACATAGGTCAATGCAATGATTTAAAGGCACAGAAAAGACACAGTTTTTTAGTCAAATACTGCCATCTTATTCAGAACTTCTGGCACAACCGGCACAAGGCAGGCACAACTGGCACAAGGCAGAAGCAAACACAAGAGTGTGAAAATCACTGCTGTTTCATTCATAACTTCTGGCGTAACTAGCTCCAAGATGGAAACAGACTCAAAAGAAAGAGAAAAGACAAACACAAAACAAGATAGTGATGTCCGAGGTAACACCGCCGGAATCACCTGACTCTAACAAAACAGGACTGACTCGATACAATAAGACAGACTCAACTGACTCAGTATGAAAAGACTTACTTGATACAGCACAACAGAACTGACTGAATACCCAAGTCAGAAAGCACAAAAACTAGCATTCGCAAAATGCTCAAAATAGTGCATGCCATACGCCACATCTGGAGTAAACTGAGCGCCATTCGTAGGTGGTTCATTCCCCGATCAAATGATCACATTATCCCCCAAGTTCACTGATCCAGTGTTGATAGACTTTGCAGAGCCTGGCGCGACCATGACCTCATTGTCAATCAGATCTTGTATTTTGTGGCGAAGACGGTAACAACTATCAGTGCTATAACCGGTTTGTTGATGGAAAGCACAGTACTTGGCCGGATCATGAGAGGGAGGAAGTTTATTTGGCAGTGGCCGCGGCTCCAGGGGTTTCAGATCTCCCTTTCTAATCAGGACCCTCAAGGCCGCTAATAGAGACATGTATAGTGGGGTGAACACCCTCTGGCCCCGAGGTTGGTGTTTTGAGGTTTACGGAGTTTTATTGGATTCACTAGCAAAGGGATTGATAGGCGCCGACTGGGTTTGCTGATCTCTTCTGAGTGCAGGATTAGAGCTGAAAGGAATGTTTCTGGTACAATGACCCTTCTCCCGGTTTGCCCCTTGATTCAAATTGCCCCCAACTTGAGTGGCGAAAGTGTCATTCACAGTTTTTGCAACAACTGTGAGTCCTTGCTGTTTGTTCAGTCCTTTGGCTTTCAAAGCCTCAATAGCCCACTGAAGGTGTTCATGGGGACCAATGCATACCCCTACCTTGTTCTTACCACTTGCCTCCGCCTTGCCAAGGGATTGGGTCGCTATATCAAAGCGAAGCCTAGTTGTTGTCGACATGTCATCGCCCAGACCTGGGATGGCTTTAGGTTGGCCATTTTCAATTTCAAATGCAGCTTGCCCCAAGACTGGAGAGCCTTTTCTGGCATGTAATGCAGTCAATGACGGAGCCACTATCCCAAAGGCTAGATCTGCCACTGTTCTCTGGAGATCTTCAATCATTCTCATCAGCTCAGAATTAGTGGGCTCACGGGTTTGAGATGATTAGGGTTCAGGTGCATCCATCATGCATAAGTCCATGCTGATTGGAATAAACACCTCAGGCTTGGGTAGATGGTCCGGGGTGATGTATATGCTCGGGTCGTAGCCAGATGGCAGTATATGGATGAGGTTGAGGTAGGAAGGAGATGTTTGGTCATTGGGGTCTGGAGGTGGAGCTATCGTCCGGTTGTCGATGAGATTCTGGACCTCATGACGAAGGCGAGAGCAACGATCGGTGCCATGACCGCGCTGTTGATGATACACGCAGTATTTGGAGGGGTTATGTGTGGCAGGGAGTGGGTCAGACAAAGGATGAGGATCAAGGGGTTTGAGATGCCCTCTTTCCATCAGAACTTTTAGTGCACTGGTTAGGCTCATATAGAGGGGGGTGAAAGTTCTACCCTGAGCTCGGGTTGGGTCGGCTGTTTGTAGGCTCGGTTTGGCAAAAGGGTCGGCTGTGGTGACTGTATTGATTTCGGTGGGTTGGGGAATAGTGCTACTACCAACATTGGTACTCCCTGCAAAAACCCTTCTTATCGGTTCACTTGTTCTGGGAATGATCCCACTGTTGAACGCATTCTCGACCTGAACCCCCAGTTCATGCAAACTTTTGAAAATGAATAGTGGAGCGACTGTCAACTTTTGCAACATATCATGCTCGAGGTTTCGTACCACTATCCGGATTTGATCTCTCTCAGAAGGGCGATCTGTTATCTATGCTGCCTTTGCTCTCTACCTTGCAACAAATTCCGCAAACGGCTCTGTAAGATTCTGGTGGGTAGCTTCTAGCTCTCGAGTGGTCATTTCAACTTGGGTATTGTAAGAATACTAATCAATAAAGGCCTCAGCCAATTCTTCCTAGTTCTGTTTCACTGTATTCTCCAATTTGGCATACCAAGCGGCTACTACACCCGACAGGGTTCTTCCATACAGAGAGAGTTTTTGTGGCTTAGTTAGACCCATCGGCTTCAGGACATCCAAGAAAAGCTGGATATGTACCATAGGATCTCCAGACCCGTCGAAACAGTCAATATATGGCATTTTGAATCTGTCTGGGAGCTGTACGGCAGACTCAGTGTACCCATCCTCAATGTTAGGAATGGAGTTAAGGCCCTGTGTGTAGACGTTCCCGAACGCCCCGGGAGGACGAGTCCCGTTCTGTTCGTTTTGGGCTCGCTACAGTTCAGGACTCTCAAATTGTCACGGTTCTTAATCTGAACCAAAGAGTCTAAATCCAGCAAATCGTTTTGGAAAACAGATTTGTAGAAAAGAAGTGCCAAACATGGACTGTTTTGCCAGATACAAAGTCGCCACATAAATATTTTATTTTGAAAAATTTAGGAAACCTTGACTCGGTGCCAAAGGCCACGTGTCCGTCATCACTAAAGTTGCCTCGGCTCGGGAACTTGGGTACGATTGGGGAAGGTCAGCTATGAGCACCCCCTCTCGCCCGATCAAAGATCGGCCTCTACTAACCGTGATATCTTGTTTTGAAAGCATTATGTGTTCTTATTCCATTAGCATTACTATGTTATGCGCACAGCAAACAAGTATAGACCAAATCGCCTAAATTGGAGCAAAAACATTTCATGTTTGTTTTGAAAATGGCTTGCTACTCGCAAGTAGGCTAAAATACAGGTTTTGCCACCCTCAAGTGGGCTTTTAGAAAATGTGGTTTTGCCACTATCTAGTGGGCTTAAAATTCACAGCTTTAATGCGTTTTTTCCAATTTAGGTAACTCAACCTCCATCCACAGGCATTCAAGCAGTTATATCACATAAGCAAGTAGCCTCATGGTAAGCATGCTGTCATGGCAACACTCACACGCATGCAAGGATGCTAAAGCAAAAGAACTTACAGAGTACTCCAAGCCAAGACAGGAACTAGTTAGTAATAGAGACCTCGATGGTGCTGAAAAAGTTAGGAGAAATGAAGTTAGAGCTGAGATGTGGAGGTTGAGTAGGATGGTTGAACGGTTATGGCTACAAAAGTCAAGACTTAATTGGGCAATGAAAGGGGATAAAAATACAAGATACTTCCATGTAGTTGCAAAATGCAGAATAGTTAGAAATGAAATAAACTCTATAATAGATGGGGAGGTGGTGGTTGAAGATCCGTGTCAAGTGAAGTATAAGGTGTTTGAACACTTTAGAAATCAGTACACAGAGCATTGGTCATCAAGACTTGTGTTGGGGGGTTTTTTCCCATCAATAGAAGGCAGAGTGAGGTCTGGATGGTTAGAATCAGATTTTTCAGTAGGATAAATTAAATCAGCAGTGATGGATTGTGATGGGAATAAGGCACTAGGACCTGATGGTTTTAACTTGATGTGTTATCAGAAGTTTTGGAAAGTCATGAAGGGTGATGTGGTTAATTTTGTGAAAGAATTTCAAAACAATAGTAAGTTGGTCAAGGGTATAAATAGTTCTTCCATAACCCTTATACCCATGATGGAGAATCCAATAGGGCTATCTGATTATAGACCTACAAGCTTGGTGGGCTCTATATACAAGATCATAGCAAAATTGTTGGCTAATAGACTAAAATCTGTAATGCCTTAGATCATAAGTGAGTCTCAGTCTGTGTTCTTGAATGGTAGAAATATTCTAGATGGGGTGTTAATAACTAATGAGGTTGTTGACGGATAAAAGAAAGCTAAAAAGAAGGGGTTACTTATTCAGTTG